TCTGGAAAATTTAAGGGGTAGTTATATAATAATTTTGGATGATCTCGGGCGGTCGGATACTTATGACCGCTACTGTAATACTAAAAATATGTCAATAATGTTGATAATTGAATATTAAATACGTACGTTTAAGATACTGTTTTTATCAATATCAAATGTGACTTCAATTTGTGAAACACCTCTTGGTGCTGGCGGAATTCCTGTAAATTCGAATTTACCAAGGAAGTTATTATCTTTAGTACGGGCATGTTCACTTTCATAAACTTGAATCATAAATCCTGGTAGATTATCGGAATATGTTGAGAAAATTTCTGATTTCTTGGTAGGTATAGTTGTATTACACTTTATAAGCGGTGTCATGACTCCGCCAGTAGTTTCAATACCAAGAGATAAAGGAGTGACATTGAGATAAAGTAAATCTTGAGTTATTTCAGAAGTATCACCAGATAAAATAGCAGCCCAATAGCGGCACCATAGGCCGCGGCTTCATCAGGATTAACGGATTTGTTTGGTACTTTACCATTGAAAAACTCAGATACCAGCTTTTGAATCTTGGGAATACGTGTTAAACCACCGACCAGGACAATTTCATGAATTGAACATTTGTCAATTTTAGAATCTCAAAGTACTTTTTCAATAGGTTCCATTATAGATTGAAATAAATCTTGATTCAATTCTTCAAATCTGATACGTGTTAAGGAGGTATAGAAATCGATACCATCGAAAAGGGAATCTAACTCTAAGGAAGCTTTTAATAATGATGAAAGTTCACGCTTTACACGTTCACAAGCTGTCCTTAATCGATGGAAAGCACGTGCATTCGTTATAAGATCTTTCTTAAATTTTCGTTTGAATTCTTGTAAAAAATGATTTACAAGGTGATTATCGAAATCTTCACCGCCAAGATGTGTGTCACCTGCAACAGCTTTTACTTCAAAAATTCCTTCCTCAATAGTTAGGAGAGATACATCAAAAGAGCCACCACCTAAATCATAGATAAGAACGTTTTGTTCTCCAACAACTTTCTTATCCAAGCCATAAGCAATAGCTGCTGCAATTGTATCAGTAATTATACGAAGTACATTTAAACCGGCGATTATACCGGCATCTATTATAGCTTGGCATTGAGATTCATTAATGTAAGTTGATGTTGTAATTACGGCATTTCTAACTTGCGTACCAAGATAAGCTTCTGCGGTTTCCCTCATTTTTACCAAGATCATGGAAGAAATTTCTTCGGGTGTGAAATCCTTCTTTTCGTATTTGTATTCTACTTGAATATATGGCCTTCCATTCTTATCAATAACTTTAAATGGCCAGTTCTAAAAAAAAAAAAAAAAAAAAAAAAAATAAAAAATGAGAATTATAAATGCATTGTAAGATCGTATCTTATAATTTTTACCTTCATATCAGATTGAATTTCCTGGTCATTAAACTTACGGCCAATGAGACGTTTAGCGCTAAATACAGTATTATAAGGGTTCATGTTAACTTGATTTTTGGCAGCATCACCGATTAAACGTTCCGTTTCGGTGAATGCGACATATGATGGCGTCATATGATTACCCTGGTCATTGGGAATAATTTCAACTCTTTCATTCTGCCAAACTCCGACACAAGAATATGACGTTCCCAAATCGATTCCAACTAAGTTTGTAAGAATTAAAAATTTAAACTTGCCAACTTTTGTATTCAAAGAATTAAAAAATTTTCTATTTAAGAATATATACCAGCTATTTCTTTATGCATTATGATAAATTATAGTATTATGTCAAAATATACAAGGTTTTATTAATTAGATAAAATCAGGGAACGGTAATCGTTCTAGTCCGAAGCATAACAGGTATTAATTTATGTTCAATTTTTTATTGTGTTCAATTTTTTTAATGTTCAGAATTCTATTGGGTGATCAATATGCAGGACGACATTGTGTTGAATTGTCCTAGTATTTGATTGTCCTCATGCTTCGGACAAAAAAAAAAAAATTCTTCATTCAAATATACCCGAATGAAATAATCAACTAGCATTATTTAAAGAAAATCCAAAAAGTGTTTTTCTTTTCTATGATATGCCCAAATATAACCATATGATCTGTTTTGCTGCGCCATTAACGCACAAAATAGAACACATGTGGCAAAAAATACACCATTAAGGTTTCCGGGCAAAAACCCGGAGTTTTTGACAGTCATCATAAAAGATCATCTAATTACACGAAAACTTAAAAGTGGTTACGCTTTACAATTATGCATGCAAATCTTTAAATTTAGTAAAATGAATTTTACAAGTTCCAAATTAATATAATCTCTTGAATGATTTTTTTTCTTTAATCGTTTTCTTTTACAATTTTTTGTAAAATAAAAAAAAAAAATGTCCATTGAATGTTTGCAGGGAGTTGCTAATGATTATGAAAGGTTATTTGAAAATGACACAAGTTAGAGTTTGGACTCGAGTCAGAAAAGTTAACTCGAGTCAAAGTCGAATCAAGAAATTTTTGACTCGAAGAGTACTCGAGTTGGAAATTCGAGTCAGAAACTCGAGTCAAACTCGAGTTAAAGTCATAATGCGGGCCGGAAAAGTACAATGCGGGCCAAAATTTTGTGATATTTTTGGGGCCGAACTAAAGGAAATTTTTTTAAAAAATTTTTATTCAATGATTATATAATAAATGTTAATTATATTATGCTAATAAATGCAGTTTAAGAAAAGAATTACATGTTATTTATAAAATATAGCATAAATTTGGAGTTGACTCGAGTAGTTTTAATTCGAGTCAACTCGAATTCTGACTCGAATCAAGAAAATCTTGACTCGAATCAGAATTTAACTCGAGTTGACTCGAGTTAAACGAATACGAGTCCAGTCTCTAGCCTTGATTACTTTGTCTCGCATACTAATCAATTCTTTTAAATAATCAATTTTTTCTTGCTTGGCTTGGTTTCTTTTCTAGCAATTTATCCCTTTCATCTAAAAATTAAGTTCACTTTCTTTTAACTTAAAATTAAAATTTAAGCTTTGAATAACTAGTCCTTATTCATTTCATTCTTCTAACATCACAGTGAGTTTCCGACGTGCTAACAATTTGTTTAAATATTCTATATCCTTATCACCTAAATTGGCAGGTAGAAATTGGCTTTCATAATCAACATTCGCTTTACTTTGTTCTAAATTTTCAATTCTTCTCTCCAAATCTTTAAGGTTGTTTTTTAAAACATTTTTTTTGCGACTAATCAAATTCTAACATTCCTTATTTTTTTTTTTTCATGTTTATTCAGCCCATATTCAGAATTTTGTAAATTCTTATCATAGCAAATCGTCAATATACGTAATTATGCATTTGATTGCGTCTAGCTTAGTCAATTTAAGGTTTCGACTTCCTTTATTGCAAACACCCTAATTTCTTCCCTTGCGATATTATCGTGAATAACAAGGCTGATACATTTTGATACTTGGCCAGTTGGCGAAAATAGGGAAGTTATAATACACGAACAACATGTAATTGCTGCAAGGATAGACGACCTCCCATACCCAATTGTTCAATAAATAAAGCAACCTATAATTTCTCAATAATTAATCAATCTTGGATATTGCAAAATTATTTTCTTACATATAAGAAAATCATTATACCGAAGCTCTCTACCAGATTCTTATAACCTGGAAATGGAAACGGTAATAAATGGAGATTTTTTTTGGATTGGGATTTGAGTTCATTTTGGCAGTGATGGAAAATGACCAAGGTCATTTGATAATTTTGAATGACCTCTGAATGACCATCGAATGACCTAGTCATTTGGTCATTTAAATGTAATACAGGCCAAATTCTATATGCTGGTCAGAATTGAAAATTTATATCACGTGAAATATTTATGAAAACGTTCGAATCATAAATTACATTAATTATTTTGACCAGAATTATTGTGATCACATGATATAATTTTTAAATGATCAGTTCATTTGTCATTTAATGTTGAAATAACCTAAATGACAAATGACCGGTCATTTGAGTCATTTGAGGTCATTTGGGTCACTTGCAATCACTATATTTTCGATCCTCCGAAAGTTTCTTTACATCGTCCATTTGGTATTGATAAGTGTCGTCTCCGGAAATAAAGAAATTAACTATTAACTAGGTAACGGAAACCGTTGGAGCGTCCGAAACATTATATTAATCACATAAAAAAACGCAAATCATATTTTATCAAATGATGCAAACATGAATTTTATACACCGAAGAAAATTTATATCACAAAAAATTTTATTTTTTTTTTATTAAAATATATTTTAAATAGTATATTTTTTTTACTTTATTTAAAAAATACATAATTTATTGATTTTTAGTTTTGATGAATTAAGTTTCGATTAAAATGTAATTTTTAATTAACTATTTGATAAAAACTCGTATGTAACACGAATCGATAACACGTGCGCGGCTGATCAATATATTTGGCTATTTCTAGGTCCTCCGCTATGCTTCGGACAATTACACAAATTATAAACGCATCTATTTGTTTACCTTTCTTTACGTATTAGCCTTCATATTCCTCGCCTGAACCTTCCAGATTTCTTTACTATTGAGAACTTCGCACAAGCAGAAAAAATTGACAGCTTACAGAAAGGATGCGTACTTTCGCGTCGATCAATTATTATTTGCAAAGGCTTACTTGAATACAAAAAAGGCAAAATTAGTTAATGTTGTTACAAAATTTAAACCATATTACATACCAGACATCAAGAAAATCATCTTTAAAAAGTTAAATTTCTCTTCTGACGTTCATGATCTAAGTAAGAGCCTTTAAAAACATCAGACCCTAATCATGTGATGTGATTATGATGACTGATCAGATCATTTCGTCATTTGTCATTTTACCTATTTAAGCAACACGACTTACATTTAAATACATGTCATGTTGAAAATTGACTCTTTCTCCTTTAATTATTTCTTAAAATTCTTACTACATTTAAATTATGAATAATTATTATAAAGACGAACGTTATCAACATGGATCATTACCGTATTTGAATTTAGCAATGTACGCATTTTTACTGTATTATTCTAAAAATGAAGCTTATTCCAATTATATTTTCATTATTAGCAATACGAAAATGAATAATAATATAAATGATTCGAATCCTCAATCGGAAAGAATTTCCAAAAGACAGAAGGTTGCGAAAGAGGAAGAAGCGAGAAAGTATCCGGGCATTTATATAAAAATTAGAGTTGATATAAAATTATCAAATGCGAATATGTTTATGTTACCTGCAATTTTAATAATTTTAGTAATCATCATCTTAAAATTTCTATAATTGATTACTATTTAGATTCGCTTGCTTTGTTAAATGCATCATTTTTATTTTATTAAATAACAAACTGATAGTGAATTTATATGCTTAATTTTCTTATATCTTGTGTCGGAAATATATGAATTGCTTTTAATAATAAAAAAAACAAATAGTCAAACAAGTCAATTGTTCCGATTTTTTATTGTACCTATTAATCGGTGTGAATTAAAAAGGGAGCTCTGCTGGACCAAAGATAAGTACAGAAGGATTAGCTTTACAAGTAATTTCACAAAATTTCATATCAATGTTGCTGTTTTATAGGAAAACGGAATAGCGTGCGATTCCCAAATTCGATTTTTATCGAAAACCATCGTTGGAGATCAAACTTTAATAAAAGTGCGAGTTTCGAACATCTATATGCTTTGATATCTACTAATATGATAATCGAATTCATATATTTCGGTAGAATCCTCTTTTGGTAGGGATAATAGAATAGCAATAGTGAGTGAGAAGATTTTAATATCATATCTCATTAACAACCTTTGAATAATTAGAGGTTTCTATTTTTCTATATTTGGGCTGATCCCGTTCTAATTGTTTTTCGAAGTCACCCGGTTCTTCCTGAGAACGGTGGACTCGATATTGTATTTAATAATCATCAACAAATTACAATCTTCTGAAAATTCGATAATTAGTTTCACCTTACTGTGCAACAAATTTATCCTGGATTTATATAATTACTAATTTTTATTTAGAATGGTCTTTTTTTGTGATTTCTTTATTAGAAATGAGCTATTTCTTGTAAATTTTTTTTTTACCAATCGATGTATTTGGAACCGGTTAAAGTGGTTAACACGTCATTTAACCGGTTAAATAGTTGAATTTAACTCCGGCTGAAATTCAATTTCCGGCCAGAGTTAAGATTTTTATGATTGCAAAATTATTGTCTAATGCCAAATTTATAGTACTGACCTAAGTTAAAGAATTTTTGGCCGGTTCCAACCTCTAGTATCAGTTACGGTGATTTATCATAATAATTAATTCTATTTGTAATAGAAATATTATATATCAAAATATCAATTTAAAAGTGTCTATATCAAGTTAAAATACCATATAAGCAATTGTTAGAAAATATGAGCAAAGTGAACATAATTACCTTTATTTCCATAAATCTTTTTCAATGGAACGCGTAAGAAACTACCATGATCCTTCCAATAAAATTGAATCAAGTTTAATAAATATTTCAATTTATTGAATTTCTTGAAAACGTTATGACCAAGTTTGTGATGGCATCAATTAAATACTTCAATAATATAATTTAATTTTTATTCCAAGTAATTTTTCAAAAAATAAATTTCAGTTGAGTTGATTTATTCTATGAAATTTATTCATTTATTCAAAAATCTTTTTTTTTTTTTATTGAAATTAAACCTTTATTTAAGTCTCTGTTTATTATCAATTCAACAGTATAATTATAATGAGAATATACTTAAAATAATTGCCTTAGCCTACATTTCAATCATTGCACGGAATGTAATGAAACCCTTAAGGAGACATTTCGCTTTATATGAAACGTTGGAAAATTTTTCTCAAGAAAAGAAAATGATCTTGAGAAGTCCTATCATTTCGAAAACAATTTCAATCATGAGAAATTCTCCCAAAGCGAATTCCACGCTTCGGATATAAGAAAAGTTTTTTAATATTAAATAAAATTTTCAAAAAAGTTTAATGAAACTTACCTTCCTCTTTGATCAGATTCCATTCTTTACCGGTTTATCTAACAATTTCACCACAAATACATCGTTGGATTAATGTTGGAGATAAGAAATAAGCTTTATAAGCCATCTCGGACTGAGCCAGATTGAAAATACACGAGACTGTTTATAGTGTACCAAGCCGAGATTTGTCGAGGTATTAGTTTATGCGGCGTATTAAATCTGTTAAACTTATTATTTTTTTATTTTCAACTATGATATCAATAACCGCACCGCAATTATGGACTCAAAAAATTTTAACTCATTTATAAGTATCATGGAATGGAATCATTTCCTGGAATAGTATTAGTGCGTTAATATGACACTTTTATTTTTTTACAGTATATCCAACATATCAAACGACGTATGACAATTTATAAATTGACTCCGTAGGCAGCAGATACAGTTTGAAGATTATAACTTCACAATATGTTACAATTAATTTTTATCTTTTTGGTTATATTTTAGAGACTTAAATTTATTTTTACTGAATAATTTTATACTAGGAAACGGGCAACGTTATGCGTTCGATGCATGATATAAACTCAAACAGTAGGGTTCTATCCTTATGCTTCGGACAATAATATTGTTCAGTCAAGAAAATTATTTATTTATTGTTAGCTTTGCTGTAAGTATTCATATTTACTTTTACAAATTAAAAGTTCTCTTCTTAATTAGGAGGCGATATGGACCATGATGATTTTTTTTTTAAAAAAAAAATCATTTAAATCTGATTTATTTTGATTTAAACAGAAAATTTTTATATTTTTGACTTTATTTAAAATTGATTGTAATCTACAAAGTTAATTACGGAAAGATTGATGAATCAATGATAAAGAAATTTAATGTTAAGAGATTGTAATATTATCGTTATAGTTTTCTCTTTAGAATCTATATAAAAGATAATTCGCCATTTATTAAATAACTGGCATTCACTTACACAATACCTCATTTACATTATTAATTTTAATGTTTCCCTAATTATTAAAAAATAAAAATTTATATCAAGTGTAGTATAATATTTAAATATCATATTAAGAAACTTACTTTTATTATTTATATTTTCAATTTTTATACCACGCTTTTTCTGCAGAAGTGTTTTTTGAAATATATGTACATGATGATTATTAATATCATCTGCCTTTGAACGTTGGATATTTGAAGAATTTTGACTAGCAAGATCCACATTTATAAAAGATGACCTAAAGAATTATAGTAAATAAGTAAATATTAATTTGTTTTGTTTCTAATGTAATTTAATTAATACCTTATATCCAGATCATATTCTATTGAAGTATACTCTGAATATTCCAAGAAAACTTTATCTATAAAACAATAATTAATTGTATCATTTCGATTATTCAAATCAATATAATCATCTAAACAAAATACCTTGTTTTGTATTATATACATATTCCATAGATAAATTTATGGATGAAGTTTTCGAAATCAAAGAACTTAATGCTCTGCTTATAAAAGTTGCTTTTGGATGAGGTTTTTCGTTAAATTCAGGACCAAGTTTCATTGACTGTATCAGTTCCAATCTTTTCATTTCAGATCGGTCAATTTCTTTTTTATCAACATACTTATATCGATACATATAGCACGCTCTAATTTCTTCTATTAAAGGTCTTTTTGAAGGAACAGGATCCCAACATCTTTTCATTAAATTAGCATAGTATTCGGGAGTATCTTGAGTAATTTCTGGTCGCTTTCCATCAAGAATTTCATATATAAGGTTAATATTATGTTCAACATTGGCAAAAGGTTTATAACCTGATGTTAATTCCCACATAATCATACCCAAACTATAAATATCAGATCCTTTTGAAAACTTAACACCCTTAAATACTTCAGGTGCTATATAAGGTATAACGCCATATATTTCATTATTTAGCGAAACATCTGCGGGTTGTGATAATCCTAGATCTCCAATATACCACATCCAATTCACAGTAGATAATAATATATTTCCACTATGAAGATCTCGATGTATAATATTGTTTTTATGAATATCACAAAGTCTAAAAATGTATATACATTTTTAGTATATAATTAATTATTTAATCAAATCAACATTTGTAAATTGTATTAAAAATATAAATACCCTCGTGAAATTTCATATAAAATACCTAATTTATCATTCCATGTAATATTTTTAAATTTTTTTTGTAAATATTTATGCAAATCTCCTCCACCTGCATACATTATTATTAACATAAAATCCTTTGTTTCTGGATCTTGTGTAATCCCATAGCATTAAATAACATTTTTTTGTATGCTCGAGTTATTTTGACAATGATATAACGATTTTAACTAAAGCAATCATAATAACAAAAAATTTAATATATATATAAAATTAAAATGTAAAAAATATTAAATTTACCTCATTTAAAAAACTTTTACTGATAGTTTGAGAGTGTAAGATTCTTTTTATCGCAACAACTTCACTTTTATTGATATTGTTATAAGGATTTAATCTAGTTGCTCGATAAACTATGCCAAATTCTCCTTCTGCTATTTTTTTTAAACTTGTAATTTGAGAATATGGAATCCATTCCATTGGTTGAATATTTTGAAAATCAAAAAAACTAACTTTAAAACAACTGTTAAGAATTAGAGGATTAGCAATTTTGCAATTGCTGTTAAATTTTGTATAATAAAGAAATTCATTTATATTAACATTTCCAATAGTGATTGATACTACTCTCTTGCATTTCCTACATTGAGATTGATCGGAAATTCCAAATATAAGATTTGTCGTTAAGCAATATCTACATCCTGTATATATTACAAAACAAAATATACGCCACTTTTGACAATCTGTTACAAACCTTAGTTTTCTATAACAGATTATACAAGAGTCTCTGGCATCCCAAAATGTCAAATAAATAATTGGAATTGATTTTTTAATGACTGTTGATTCTGTTCGTCCATTATAAATCAAGTAACAATTAGAACATGTTTCTCCATCAGACAAAACTTTTCCACATAGAAGATATGCATTGAGGTAATTTCGATTATTTCGAATTCTTTTAAATCTATAATAAGTTTGATCAAAGTATAAAATTTCCGAGCAATTTAAACACCATTCTTGAATTTTATGCGTCATAAAATCTGAATTTCTTGGTTCATGTTCACTACACTGAGTGTTATTTGTACCTATACGAACATCCAAGTATATATTATTATCAGTTAAATACTTAATATAATCAGTTAAGCAACTTTTACAATATTAGTAACGATCAACAATTGACTTAGAAAATTCGAGTCCACAATAATTGCAATTATTGTCGTTTTCATTCCATGAAATAAACAAAATTGGCACAGGGCTAGATTTTAAATTTGGGGTTGGGTCAAATGTCTTATTTTTCATAAGTTCCATTTTTGTTAATAATAGAATTTGGAAGATATTATAGTGCAATGTTATAATTATTTTTCGGAAAAAAGGTCCGATGGATTTCCAGCATGCAGCAAGTTTAACCTTAAATGTATATATAAAGACGGAGTAGTTCAGCCACATAGGTACATAACACAACGATCAGTAAATAATGCTTTATATACAATGATAAATTTGTGTGATACAGCATCATTTACTTTATTTTTGACTAAAATTGCGAACTAACGAAAATTAATAAAGATATTTTAAAATAAAAAATTTCTAAATTTACACGGGGTATATGTACCCAGAAACCGTGACAGGATATTTGTCACCTGCGTCATTCCCCTCCGCCTTTAGTTTATATTATTTATTTCAGGAATTTAGAATTTTTTCGGTTAAAAATTATTATTCTTCACTCCCTAACTATCACATGGTTATTTCTTAATTTCTTAATGCTAGCGAAAATGTCAGGTGACCCTTGTGCATACACCCGTGTACAAATAGAAATTGCCTTAAAAATATAGTAGTACTTAAACTTGAGAAT